TTGTTAACTATTTTAACGTTTTAAGATTTTCAATCATTTACTGTCTGGTGCATAAACAGATATTGTGTAAAATATCAATATTTAGTTTATTTAATATATTTGACACTACTAAATAAATTGAATTTAGTATAGAATATAGATTATAATAATTTAATTAATGAAGTTTGAACAAATAACATCTTCAGTCTTTTTACGGTGGATTAACCTACTAGTATTATCTAATAAGGGAAAAATCTACTACAATTTTAATAAAATATGTTTTGAAATTTGTAAAATAAGAAAAAAATCTTAGCTCATGTAAAAAAAATATTTGCCCCGCTCTGCCCCCCCCTGAAAAAAAGTTCTAGTCCCGTGCTTGTTCAGCCGGCGTCAAGTGAATATTATGCGCTGCAGATACTCCTATATGTTCTTTATCCGTTTTAAAGTCCAAAAAAATAATAAATAATATTTACACGAAATTGAATATTATATATTTTGTGTGTTATTAAATGAAAAATGGGCTTGAGCATATTTGATGTATCGCTCTGTGTATAGTAACAAAACAATAAATAGTTTATAAGGTACATATTAAACTATAATATCTATTGCGGTATTGTATCGAATAGTTGAACAGTTATCACTCGCGTCGTATTTCTAATTCCAATTTGAATATTTATGGATACCGCGGTATCGGCAAAGCTCTTTGGAAATCCATCTGCAAGGAAGTTCTATACCGTGCGTGTAAACACCGCGGTTAAAAATATTTCGCGGAATTCGCGAGCGGTATATTTTTCATCGGCCAGTCTTGGGAAAACAATTATTGCTATCATTAATTTTCTCCCTACCGCGGTCCGAAAACGATTGTCGATCAAACAGTTTTCGCGTTACAATTTGCAAGTACATATTATAATATAATAGTGTTTTAGTAGTGTGCGGTGCGACGACATTCCGGTCTGTAGAATCAAGAAACTCGTCGCTCGTTTTCCGAAGATTAAATGAAGAAAGCCACGCGTCAAAGTAAGGTAAGACGCATATCAGTCACCCATAAATATTATATATTTTTCACAAGGCCTTTGAAAATGAGAATTCCTCGAGCATGCTTCTACAACAGTAAGTTATATACGATTAATTGTATTAATATTGACATAATATAGAATGCGATATAATATATGTACAATATACAACGTATTCACATTGACCGTACTATAATAATAATATCATATAAGACGCGTAAGTATAATATAATAAATCTGTAGTAAAATTATATATTATATATTTATGTATCAGTACTTTTTGTAACGGATCATTGAATAATTGCGTTTTTACCGGGTTGGCGTATTGATGCGAAAACCGTGAAATACGAAGCATTTGGCTCTAAAATGTAGTCCGTCTTGCATTGCGGTAAAATATTCAGCTATTATAAAAAGACAAACATATCATACTTATAAACATTCCGTCTATACGTCCCGATATTACGTGTCTAATAGGCAATAGCATCAAACCCGTATCACATAGGAAATAATAGTCTCTGAGAAGTTAGACAAAAATATGTTCGTATTATAATGTACCTACATGTTTTCAATATTCTCTCTTCATTCTCAATATAAACCTTCCCATCAGGTATACTGACATACCATATACGTCAGTACACATGGAAGTTTGGGTATCGTAAAATATATATTCGACGGTTATCTAAGTATTATATACATTTCCACGCTATTATAAGTTGTACAGTCTATAATACTATACACACAGCAAATAGTTATGAATGTTATAATGAAACTTGTATGTTATATAAACGTCGATTATTATTCTTAGCCGGTTATTGGTAAGCACGTTTATATGAAAATATATGTGGTGTATGATTAATGAATTTTGAATTTTGTAATAATTACGGGTTTAACGGTAGGTGAGAATATATTACAGACGATCACTATCGAATGGTTTATTTTTAATTTGATATTCGTAAACGATATAAACGCGTATATCATATTATATACGATCGGACCACGAGCAGTACTAAATCGCATATTATGTATATATTAATATTATTATACCTCTACACGTTGACTCAAATGTCTCACACGTCTCAGTACACTATATATCTATATAACATAGGTATGTACCTGCTACCTATAATATGTGAAATAATAATAATAATATATATTGTTTAACATTGCTGAAGTTGACAATAAAATACTATAAATTAATAAATATGTCCTTGAGAAATTGCCTTTGAAGGGAAAAACAAACATTCGAAATACATTAGTTTTCGTTTTCTACGCGCACACACACAATACAGTATATACACTAATACCTATATATATTGGCACGCGGTCGCCACTGTCGTATCTTACTGCAGTAATAATACACACGCACACACACATATATATAATATACAATATTAAATACACATGTATATAAATGTTATCATGTTATTTATATATATATAGGTAAGCGTTGTGCAGCACACATGTACGTTAAACAGCCGATACAGAGTTTGTTTTGTTCTCATTTCAAATCTGATATTCTAATTTCCATCTCCCACACGACTCTCTCGCGCCGGTTGTACACAGCAGCACCAGTAGGTGACACTGACCTCTTAAGCACACACACACTGATATATATATATATATTTATTATGTGAACACTCGTTCCTTATAGCCACTCGCTGTTGGTGGCCGATTCCGCGCGCCACTGTGGCTTCCCCGGTCGTAGTCGAGTATATAGAAACTAGATTACTGACCTCAGATATCTGCAGACTTGCAGTTGCGCGTATAGGGTTTAAGAAAAAAAAAACGTGTATAAATAAAATAAATAATGGTTACCACACGTCGTCGTTGTGAAATGCTATACGGAGATATAACTATAATAATGTACGTACCGAGCGGCGGTATCTTATACAGCTGCAGGATCGTTCGAACTTAACGTTAAAAATCTGGCAGCGACGGATACGTTCAAATAAAAGACATTCAAAAGTAGGTATATATTTTGTATATGCCACGCGCCTTGAATTGGCGCTGTAAAACGTTTTATCGTATAAACAGTGAGGATTTACTTCGTATAAGTTTGTACCGATTTCAAAATTATGATTTACAATAAATTATATTATGCGAATGTATACCGCATTAGACGGTCGTATTAGCATTTCGCCTCTTTAAATCTGCTTATCAATTTTTATTAATTCTCTTTATATAATAACGATGACCGCGACGACAACGATCATAATAATAATAGTAGTAATATAATTTTAATTATTACGCGTACACGGTTTTTATCGAAACTTGTGAAACAGTGGGCGGGGCTGACATCTGAAGGACGGAGGGGTGGAGTTGCGTGTTTATGTACTGCACGGTGATTGCGCTATACACCTCTGTAAGACACACATTGTTTACTATAAGTACTTGTCATCATTAGACGACAACGACGACGACGTCGTATATTCTCGATGCACCGTTGCATAGTATCGTCAAGTCCACAAGTCGGTGAAATCGTGAAACCATTTCTGCAAACAATGTGCATATGCGTACGTATTTTGTCGTTTCTAAAAAATTAAAATAAAAACACTGCAACGAGCAAACATTCAAACGCAAAGAAGCGCGTTGTATGAACGTAATACTCGACTGTTATTACTGTCACTCTGGTGGTATTACATATTATGCCTAATATATCAGTATAGTGTGTGTATGTGTTTTTATATTCAATATACCTGTGTATTATTCTCTTGCTGACTTTGGCCGACTTTTGTCGACCGAAAATCGCGCGACAAGATAACAATTTATTCAACTCGGCTATGGTCTGGACATTAAATATTACGATATTGTGATTACCAATATAATTTTTCATATTATAAATATCATACACAGAGAAGTCCGGACATATAAAACGCGCACGGGGCTTATAAACATACCTCACATGTCGTCGTTTCGTTGAACTCCGTGACCCTGAATTTGAAGCGCATACATACGTACCTATATGTATACATACCCCAGGATCTTTATCTTTTTTTCTCCTCCACAACCACTCATCTACTTTTTTTATTTTTATTTTTATTTTTTTTTTTATCTGGTATTTTCTATATTCAACGACGAGTATTAATATTGACCCACAGTATCCTTTACACGCGGGGCATACCGCATCATGCCGTCATATATATCTAATGCGTTATATACGCGCGCGTTTTATTATTATTTATGACAGCGGTCCGCCTATTATTATTATTATTATCAATATCGGTATCGTACACGAGCCAAACAATAAATAATAATTATTATTATAATTCACGGGAACGCGCAAAACACAAATCGGCCGATTATAACCGTCACTCGTCATTGCACTTTGTGGACGCGCGGCAAAAAAACCGTCCACGACTATATCATATGATATGTATACGTACTCTTGTGCACTAGTCGTACGATTTTTAAGTGGCTTCCACGAAAGTCAATAGGTACACCATAATTTCACCGTACACCTTAATACGAACCAACGAAACGAAAAAATAAGTTCATTAAAACCAAACCGCGCGAGGTATGCGCAGTATACCTAGGTACGCATATATATTTAATACGTATATTATAATATCGGAATTGCAGTAAAAACGGGAATAAAATAACATAAACGAAACAAAGAGAAACGTTCACTTCATTGTTCTTGTATTCTTAACCCTGCAAAGATCTCGGTGTACAGATGACCTATTCCGTGTATTATGAGACCTCCGTGCCGGAGAATATAAGCGCACATAATATAAGTTTTATCTAGTCTGGTGCACCGGCACCGGTGCGCTGCAGCGCAGTGTTATTGGCTAATGCGCTTCTTCTTATGCAAGGATGGGTGTGTGTGTGTGTGTGTACTGTGTATAAACGTTGACCCATAAATAACCGGCAAACCTCTATTGTCAACGCTACCGTTTTTTTTTAAAGGGGGAGAGTGAGAGACTAAGTGAGAAGGAGAAAGAGGCAGAAAAAATAAATAAGGTCTTATAAACACACACATAAGAGTTTATATACCTACATATATATTGTTTATTATATATACATATAGCGCCAGTACAATTGAACAGTCGCGCGCACATGCACATTATATACGTGTATCGATGTATAATAATTGTACGTAAAAAATAATAATACAGACAATAATATTATATAATATATAAAAATAAACAAGAGACTTCTCTACCCCGGCAAAGTCTTATGCTGCCGTCTGCAGAGTTTTCATTTTTCGCACGCATTCTCGATCTCCGATTCCTGCTGCTGTAGTCGAGTTTCCGTGAGATACGTAGCTGTGGTTAGGTAACCCGTGTGACCGCGAGGGGATGCAGACGGGAGACAAGCCACAAATTTCTTATCATTGATAGGTTCTTCGGTTGTATTCTGTGGGAAAAAAATGTCATGTCTTAAAAATAATGTAATATTTTAAACTTAACACATACTTCAACAAAGTAGTTTTAATTCACGAGAACTATCGATCGGACAAATATACCAAACATAATTGACGTCAAGCTAATAATAATACCTATAACCCTCATCTCGTATTGTTTACACTAACCTGAAGAACGTTTTTCAGGACACTATAGTTATTATGTGCCTATCGTAAATTTAGACGCCGAAAAAACGTAAACATTTGTTGGTCACTCTATAAATACCTATACAATAGAACTTTTATGTATTTATCAGATTTTATTTATTATGACAGTTAGAAAACGCGTATTAGCCGTAAGAATCATAAAGTTATATATATTATAATACAAATATTGTTCTAAATACCTATCTGCCACAAAAAAAAAATTTATAATTGCTTTATTTTGAAGCGGCAACGTTTAGTGTTACCATATATTATATTATACTGATTATTGGTTTTTCGACATAAATGTAAATAAAATAAGACACTGCAACCGAACTCGCGTAATTGTAATTGTAATTTATTTGAGTTCATCAAGGACGCAACACTATATGTTATATTATCATAAACTCGACTCTGTAAAAATTCAAGAGCGTACTTTATAAATACGTATTATATCTGACAAAAATCTATATGGTGTGTACGTATATTATGAGTGCGCGTGTCCTTGAGTTATACGAAATAGCGTGGAAAGTCAAAATAAGTAGCTAAAAAAGGTATGCAATTTTCAATAGAATTGGATGGGAAAACCTTGAAACAAATAGCATATAGTACTATGGTGAATAATATATTATATTCAGAATAATCTCATCGCATCACGTTTAAGAATATTACTATATCGTAATTATACTCATTTATTGCTAAACTATTATAAGCGGGCGCTCATATACTTGTACGCGCTCGAACATGCAACGTTTTTTTAATTTTTATATAACATACATTATACGTCTCTATTATTAAAATATACATACCTAATCATCCTATTCACATACAATCCAAATTTAAAATTAATTCCTAGCAGTGCAATTGCAATCTAACGTGATTATTATTATTATTATTCATAATAGTTATTATATTAATTTATTATATTACCTATACATTTATTATCGTGTGTGACACCACTAAACTTCGCTACATACCTACCTGCTTTAAGAATTTTCATGCATATCTTTATACTTATACAAATACAAACTTATACACATTTGACATTAGAATTAATGAATAAAAAAACTACAAAATGCAAAAATATATATTTTATACTTGCATTTCACAAGACACGGCCACTTTTACGGTCCATTTTTTATTTAGAATTTAAATACAACAAAAACTTCAAAATATTTAATTCGTATAGATTAGATTATTGTACAGTGAATATAAATACAAAATTAAAATAATTGTCGTTACCGGGATATTGAAAACGACAAAATAGCTTTGGATCGTCATACAGCATACTTACATTATCTTATACATACACAGGTCTAACGTGTAGCGGATATAAAAACAGTAATTGTATACATAATAATGTACCTACATATAAAACAATAGTTCACTGACATTTGTAAACAATAGAAATCGGTTAAAAAAATTTAATTGATTTTCGTTTCTTTTAAGATTATAAATTACAATGTTTAAAAGACCATAGTTTGACGTAATGATTTTTACGTAAAACTACTATATATACATACACATACTCGTTGTAACTTGTAGTCAATTTTATAACGAAAGAATGATTGAAATACGAAATAAACGTCATTGTATTACTGTACACGTGTACATACAGGTATTGCGCGTCTGAACCACTGATTATTCTTTCTTTTGTCCTCATGATTGAATCATTAACAAATAAATATGAAAAAAAGAGATTATTTGGACAGTTTGCGTACAATACACGTTTACAGTTTATTAAAAACAATGTAAGGATATTAACGACTACTTAGTATTTTGTTGTACCGTTCAACTTATTATATTGATATTGTATAATGTCATCCGCTTAGACGGCCGTCAATTGATGACGGTTTTTAATGTACAATAACGGTAAATGCGTATTTGGTGATTACCAAAGTTTTGTGACGAACTCATTGCCTGTATAACTATATATTATATTTTTATCGAATGAATATTTTGTATCGTAGTAAAGTGGTACTGATGACGCATTAAAAACTATATGGCTCGATCGGATTTAAAAAATAATTCCAATACACGCGCTGAGTGCATGGTCAATTACTCTGGTGATGACCTATTGAATTTTTGTTTTTGGTAATACATTAATCTTTTCATAAAAAAAAAAAACAGTTTTTTCTACATTTATAGTAATATTGCTGAGTATAAAGTATAACTCCAATTATTATATACGTTTAGAAACGTATGTGCTCGTGTACTATTTATATAGGAAAAATATATAAATTTAAAAAAATAAAATGTCAAACGCGGTATCTTTAATTGCTGAAAATGTTATTAGACCATCAAAAAATACTCATAAATTATAGATACACGACGTCTAATAGTTTAATATAATATATATACCTATATAATGCAACAAAAAATTGGAAAAAAAAGTTGTTGTCTTAAATACCTAACGGTCTGAATGTTTAATTTTAAACTTCTACTGTATAGTACGCATATCGATAATACATTGAATTATCGGGATACAAAAAAAAAAAAAATCAATATTGACTACGATTATATTTTCGTGGTTTGTTCATTGTATACTATGACATTTATATAGATATAAAATATTATTTTCGTAGCAGGATGCCAGGATATCGTCCAACGATTAACAAATATATACATGATCACACTCAAACAATATATATAAGTATATTTCGTACATAAAAAGTGCCGCAGGTCTGTGCACTAGCGAGAGCGAAAGATACACAAGGTTTATAATGTCAAAATTAAAAACTGGGCGTTAATAGATCGCGACGAGGATCGCACGTATGTTGTTACGATTTATCGTATTTATACGGTATATTACAGACATCGAAGCTGAGCGCATGAGAGAGAGTTATCCGGGCATATAGCAGCTATATAATAATATTATAATTATCGTGTATATGATATATATTATAATATAGTATCGTGTGATGATGTTAACGCCGATATATAGATATGAGTAGAAACAAAACAAAAAAAAAATTCAACCGCGTTCATCTGAGAGCAATAGAAATGTGCGTATATTGCCGAAAGACTTTAACGCACTGACATATACAATTTTCGCCTCGTGCGACCACGACCATTCTCAGTTCGCTGCTGCTACAGCGGTGACTGCGGGGAAGATTGCTCGCGGTTTCCAGAATACTTAACGCACGACCTCCAGTAGTTAGGAGGGTAGGCACGGGAGAAAGGACTGAAATATATAAGCGGTATATGCTATGATGCGTGAAACTAATCGAAATTCAAAAATAATTCGATTCGTAGTTATTGCATTGAAGAGATAACTTCGAAATCCGATAGTATATTAAATAGCGAGGGTTAACAAGAAATTTTCATTAGAGTTGGAAAGATTAAAACAATAAATAAATGAGGTTTAGAAAAATCTTTTTGTCGTATCTTTATAATAAATGAATATATTTATATCATCATAGCATACTATATCTATAAATAATAAACTACTAATTATAATTGGACATCATTTTATGCATAGCTAATCAATTATTTTTAACTAACAGCTTGGTTCTTATTAAGTAATTTTGCAACCACAAACTCGAAACCATATGATTACACCCCTAGCTATTTTCCTAGTTTAAAAATCAATTTTGTGATGTCTGCCACGCCACGGTACACCACCAACCGTAACCATCACTATATACCCCAGTTAGTACACAACCATGTATTACACATAGCGCCGTATACGCGACGGTTATTATAAGAACAATTAACCATGGTACATAATATACGATTATAACGTCTGACGCTGCTGTAGCGGTGATATGATGGCCGCCGTCACGTCGGACGCACAGGAATCTCAACAATTCCCCATATAGGCTTCGGGAGAGAAACAAAAACGAGGTGGTCCCGATAAAAAATTATAACGTTTGACGTGGACCAGTTCTGCTGTGCGCGTGTGTATTTGTCGAAAACAAATTACTCGCGCGACCGGTCCAGTGCATATATAGGCACACTTTTATATATACATACAAATATGTACCGGTTCCGTCGTGTATCCGTGTACGCCCTCGCTTTGCGTATGTGTGCGTGTGTGTGTGTGTGTGTGTGTGTGTGTGTGTGTGTGTGTACCTATTTTGTTTTCCTATATCCGTACAGTATATATTGTTTCATCGTCGTCTCTTCTGCTGCCGATTATCTATGTTATATGTATAATATACATATATATATGTATAAATATACACATCTCGATATAATATCATTATCAGATATTATACATATACACTTAAAAGTATATGCGCAGCAGTATAAGCCTACGTTTCATAATAATAATAATAATAAATTATATATACGTATTGCATTTAGAGATATACCTACGTACTATTGTACGTCGCACGTGCGAGCGCACTATATATTAGATATCGATATATTATATTTATATTACATATATAATACGTACCTGCGGACCCGAAGCGGACGGCGGTCTACTGGCGGTGGCGAACGTCGTCACAGTCCTGTTTAGCACTTGGTATTCTTTTTCCAGACACTCGACCGTCTTAATTTGGACGAAACCGTGGTCCACCAACGTCTGACACGTGCGCATCACTTGTTCAATACATGGCGAAAATGTGCAAATCCTTCCACCACCTGTGGGTCAAAAGGCATAGATCTTATATACGAGTATATATACTTCATAATATAAACATAAACAAATTTCATTTAGTTGTAGACATTTTAAATTACGCGCGGACTTATGGTATGAAATAAAAGTGTAATCACTAATAATAATAATGATCAACTGCGATGTAGATATATTTAATGATCTTTAGTCGCGACCAGGGCTTGCATTTAAAAAAAAAAAAAATTGTCATACGTTATTTACAATTAAAACATTATACAAATTTTGAGTTTATCGTTATTCAAAATTATAATTTTTAAATAATTGGAAATTAGTTACTACGTTTAATGATATAATATTATATAGGTATAACGTTTTGTTTGATAATATATCATATATTTTGTAAATCGTTATGTTTTGTTTTGTTTTGTGTTTGTATTTAATGTTTATCATTTTCCGTTATAATTACGTTTACAAATCTCAATCGTTTTTTTTTGTCGAATATAACGTTATAAATTATAATCATAACGTTTGCAAGCCTTGGTTGCAACTGATAAATTATTATATTACCAATAGTTCGTAAAATACCATCGACGAGTATGACGGAAAAGGGATGTATGCATATAATATTATATACTCATTGTTTTAATGGTTTTACAAATGGTTAATAATTTATATATTTTTTTAAACATATGTTTACGTTTACAAAAATGTACACATGTATTTATAAAAAAAAGCTATTCGATTAATTAATATTTATTATATTCATGAACTCGGCATACTAAAATCAACTTCAAAAATTATTCAAAAAAATGTGTTTTATTGGTTATATTATTGGATTGATCCCAATGATTGTTGGAACTTTTTTTTATTGAAAATACCAGAATGAGACATTAATAATTTTGTTCTGTAAAGTTCGTATTCATTGTAAACAATAAATCCAATATCAATTTAATGAAATATTTTTCTAGAACTGCATACATCCAGTTACAGTACTTGTATCAAATGATAATTATTAAAAATACTTTTATTCTCACGGATAACTAATAGTTGCCTATTACGCTTATGTTATTATTTATAATAATATGTGAAATATACTTAATTTAGTATACCTAGTAATTTCAGTAATCAAAAATCATTACTTGCAGTGATGTAGTTGTATATAATATTTTGGGTATAACGTATACGCCTAAATTGAATTGTATGTTAAAAGCCTACATAAAAAACTTTATAATTTACTTAAAATGATTAATAGCTTAATATCTCATGAAAAACTAAGAACTTAATTTTTATCTTTAAAGAATTACATTTTCAAAATAATTGAGTTGATTTTGATAAGCTGACTTGAGTATTTTTTAAATATATTATAAATATGTAACCTTATAATGATTTAAATTTATTGGCTATGTTTTTGAATTGAAAAATTAATTATAGTTAAATTATCTCAAAAATTACATATAATTAGTAAAAAAGGAGATATGTAATTTATACAGAGAAAATTCAGTCCGGCAACAATTAAATGTAATTTCATAATTCTTGATGATTTTCCCTATTAGATTTTTTGTTTTAATAATAAATGATCTAAAATATAGTAGTTTTTATATAAATAATTCTAATCTGAGACGTGTTTTAGTTTGATCTAAAAGTTTTTGATGGAAATTAACATAAATTTTAGATTTTAGATTTATTTTTAGTTAACAGATTTAATTATATTTTTATTTATTTTTAAAAAATAATACTGAACCCTACTGAGCTTATTAAGTGTCTAATTTAAGTTGAGACTAAAAATGAGCAAATTTAGAATTTATATTTTTTTTAAATTAATTACTGAGGCTTTATTAAATAGTTTTTAACTGTAAACACATAGAAATGGTTGGTAATGCGACTGTGCCCATATGTTGATTTATCACTATAAAGGGCGATTATTATCAGTGAATTTAAATAAATGTTCAGCATCTTTAAAATAATATCAAAAGCACTACTTCCGCCAATGATTTAAAATGATAAAATAGATTTAGTTATAACTTTATATACTACATGAAGTTTTCTTTATAATATTGCAAAGCTTTCTAAACACATAATACTACATATATTTATGCTTAAATAATTTATATGTTTATTTATGTAGGACAGTACTAAAAATAAAATAAGTAATATGCTTTAATTTAATCATAATTACTATATAATTTAACTGAAATAGAACTGAAATTACTCCTTATATTTTATAATATATTAAAGAGCTTCCGACGTAGTTATCTCCTTATCGCACGGAATATCAATAATTATTTATTTTTTTAAGAGTAGATCATTAACAATAGGACAGTTTTTACGAATTTACATTTTTAAAGTTTTTTTAAGCAAACTACAGTATAATATACTTAAAAACCGTCTCAACCGTTTTCACAGGTCAACAAAAAGTTATTCGAAACATATAATGTGGTTTTTCTTATAGTCGACTTATGATCAAATTTAAAGACACTGGTCGCAGTCAAAGTTTAATAAGTGTTATAACTTATTATTTTTTTTCTTTTTCTTTTTTGTTTTATTATTCGTACCTTTACAACCGACGTACAACCTGTGAGTCATATAAAAGTAAAACTTGCGTTATGTTTATATGAACAAATACCTATTAATGTTATAGAAAAGGATTTAAGACGAATAATAGAAATTAATAAATAAGCCATAACAATCATATACCATGCTCTCAATAATAAATGACGTTTGTTACGGAAGATTTCGATTGCAAACCAAGCACGAATATATAATATTACAATAATGCCACAACGTTTAAAATTTCAAAACAGGAAAAACGTGCAATATATGATACGATTACGTTCATCATCTATCGATCCAACGGGTTTAAAATGGGAGTTTTTGCCCGAGATTTTTTTTAAATGTCATTATTTTACAATGCATATAATGTTTATAGACATCGCGGCATTATTCTATTGCTCTATATATATATATATCCTCCGCGAGCGTATCACGTATATATTATAAATAAAAAACAAAGAAATACAATATTATTTATGCGTGAACGACACGCGTCGTGTATTATATTTTACATTTGCTTCGTATATGATCGTATAGTCAACACAACTCGTATGAAAATGTTTAAAAATCCATACATTCTTGTAAATAATACTACGTGCACATATATAATTTAACGAACAGGAGTCGTATAATATGTATGTATATATTATATTTTTAACGGTGCGCACGCTGTATAATAGAATACTATGAAGGTATATAGGAGAATAAGTTGCCAATTGTGGGAGGATGGTTATTTGTATTTGTGTATATAATATGGGACACCCCGTCGGTGAAAGTCGTGATTTACGGAAATGCTAGCGCGCGGTTTTTGCGATTAGGAAAGTGCGTATTAAATCATAGACGTGATATCATTGTACGTACGCGCGCGAGTGTGTAACTATAATATATAATATATATACATTGATGATTTATTGACGTCTTCGAATTTATAGATCGACTTGGATTTCACGGACAGTTTTCGCCGCAATGCAGATCTTGTATTGTATACATATATAATATATGGCGTGTTACATTATAACGCGCTCCTCTGCGCAACGAAACATAATATATAATACAAATATCACTATGACGTTTTTGTGTATTGAAATTATAGAATATTTATACATTTTTTTAACGACACCGTAAAACATATTATTATTGTGTCATGGGACCCCGGACGGTTTTAATATAGTTTGCATTTTATTATTGCTCAGAAACTAAAATCACGATTAAAACTTCATGGATTCGTGTTCAACGATAGTTTGAAGCAACAATTAAAAGTGTTTTCATCAAATACAATAAATAACGATTAACATTAGTAACTTAAGACGTGTGCATGGCTTACATATTCAATATACATGCACTATAACATAAACATTACACATCGTGTTTTTTTCATTTTCTCGCAGTGTTAACTTTACTGGAAAAAATACGGCACCTCACCTTGTAAATAGGTATATATACATTAATTTCAAAAATGTTTCGTGTTATATTATCGCATCCAACTATCTATATATGTTATATGTAAGTTATTTATAAATAATAATAAGACTCGAAGTTATATAACAGTAAATAATAACAAATATTAACAACACTTCAACTGCGGCCGTTTAATATTAATATTTTAAGCTATATCGTTTTTTTAAGTGCATAGCATAGGTACTCCTATATTATATATACACTATATATTAGTATAAACTGGAATTTTCACATTAAACGAGTGTATAGAATTACTATGTAATTATAAGTATTTCGAAAAATTAAGATTGATATAATAATTAAAAATTAAAAATTAATAATATTCAAACTATTCGTATAAACGGATAATTAATAAAATATTTAATTACGAAGTTATAACAGCATACATGTGTAGATATTACCCTGTAGTTTTATTTTTATTTTTAATTTCATTATTATATTAGTAAAATATTTGAAACTCGTTTTTTGTTCCCATACTCAAGAGGTACATAATATATAATAATCGGTACCTACATAAACTGCGTATTCCAGTAAATCCTGTTTATGGTTCAGCGTGATATCTCATTTAAAGTTCTACATACAATGCGCAGAATAATAATATAAAAATATTATTCTGAGCGATTTAATATATTATACGTAAATCTATGTGGTTTGGTGTGCGTGTGTATTATATATAGGTACTACATAATATAATAAATAAATATATCCATGTATATTGTATATATATAATATATATATTTTATGATGTGCATGAAATAATAAATTATTATTATATTTTAATTTGAGCAGTCCTGGAAATAGGATTTGCACGAACGAATTAATTACTAACATACATTATATAGTATAATTTAATACATAGTGGAAACGTTAATATAAATATATGCAAACAGAAGCCCGTAAACATATTTTATTATTGAAAGCGTTTTCCAATCATATTTGAACTTTATAAGCAAAATAACGCGAAAATTAAAATTAATATATAAAATATACGAAACTAGATCAAGCCCGTTTAATGTCA